TTTTTTTTTTTTTTTTTTTTTGTGGGGGTGTGTGGGGGGGGGGGTATTTCAGCACTGAAAAATGTGTTACCTAAGCATTTTGATGATTGTGTCTGGGATGCAGTTACTTTCATGCCCTGCATTACATATGTTGAAAACCTCTACTTAGTAAGCTAGTATTTCCTAGCCATTTATTCCGTACATGTTACAGTAAAGAAAGTCACCTTCATCACCCTTCATTCTTTTCAGAAAGTCTTGGAACAACTTGTTGCAGTGATTGATCTCCTCCTGTAATCGCTTCAGGTCTGGATCATTGGTATCCTCTCCATCCACAAGCTTCTGCCCATCTTCATTCAGTGCCTTTTGGATGGATTCTCTCTGAGCTGGTTCCATGCTACGAAACTGTAAGAAAGTAGATTTTATGTTTTATTTAGCTAAGATAAGCAACTATAGTAATGTAATTTTTTTTATAAGCCAAGATGTATTATTACAATTTAAATGCCAAAAGCTGACAAAATATTGGAAAACCCATAGGCCTAAAAATTATAATAAAAACAAGGTAATTGTAGATTTATTTTCTACGTTACTCTTAATTTGCCCATCTTGGTTCGAAATCAGAAGTGTGTAAAAAAATCATTTCAGAGCTATCTTTTATCTCACACAGGCCATTGCTCAATAATCTTTTCATTCAGTGCCAGAACTCATCAAAAGGGCTGGAAGATGAGAGACAAGGGTTCTAGAAAATGTTATCAAGACACACTGTAGTGTGTCGTGCAGCCTAAACAACATGCTGCAGGACACACTGTGTGTTATTAACAGGAAGGATAGTTTAGCAATTTTCCACCTTTTCTATCTCAGACTGTGGTAATCCAAACTATCAAATATTTTCAATGGATGTGCTCTTACTTCACATACCAAATTTCAAGGCAATCCATTAAGAAATACCTGATATATAATATTTCCAATTTAGTTTGAATTTCTTTGTTTCTTTGCACCAAAAGTATAGAAACTTTATTTGATAGAAAAAAAAACACTTAACTATTATGGATTTTTTTCAAATTTGGTATACTGATAGATCTTTACAACCTACAATTAAGAGTCTCATTTGTTGTAAATATAAGCCATATATGCAAAGTTGTTCAACAAAAAGTCACATGAGTTATCGGTTTAACATTTTTACCACAGCTTCACCTAAGAGTAAAAATAGACCACTTTTAATTGTTTGTCATTTGGATTAAAGATGGCTGATTTAGAGCAGTAGAACTATAAGATGAAAGGATATGCAGATATATAAGTATTGGTTAGGCCAAGCAAACTAGATTAGCAGTTTGTAACTCAAGTTTTCAGAAGAATCATACGGGGGAACGCTTATTATTGATTATTGATTGCCAACCTTTCAGCACAAATTTACTAGATTTTATGAAATTATCCTAAGTAAAGAGCATTTAGCATCACATGATGTTAGCTTAAGCAATTAGCATAAATAATGATGCTTGATACAGCTGAACCAATTGCACGGGGGGTGATGACAAGAACATATTATGAGTAAGCTCAGGTCTATTTTGAAACATTATCAGAAAGCTTAGGTCTATTATTACACACTAGCTGGAGTATCCGTCCATTGGACAGATGAAATAAAAATTTGTTTGAAACAAAGAATAGGAAATTGTGCTTCTATTTTTTTTTCTTAGCATAATTAACATTAAAAGTGCAATGAAAATACATTAAGGTACAATACCGAAAATAAAGATATTCTGTTTTCAAGAATTCTGTCAATTTTATATAAAATTAGATGGGGATACAACCCCCCCACCCATGTCAGCTTGCGTCATTGTACAGTTTAAAGGAAATATGATTTGTTGTATGTTTTTACCACCACTTTATATTCTATTCTGCACTTTATTTATACTGTTGTCATTATCACCCACATTAAGAGTTTAAACAAATATCTAGGTAAACTAACTGATAATCTACAGTCGAAAACTGTGAACCAACAGGGTTAAGTTGTAGTGGTTTAAGAAAACATCTGAACTTTGTGTGACTAAGTCCACAGAATTAGTCTAGTGATATATTGATATAAATCCTGACCAGTTACTAACTTACTGTGGTAAAATAAGTCCACAGAATTAGTCTAGTGGTATATTGATATAAATCCTGACCAGTTACTAACTTACTGTGGTAAAACCCCAGGATTTAATGACTTGACTAAGTCCACAGAATTAGTCTAGTGATATATTGATATAAATCCTGACCAGTTACTAACTTACTGTGGTAAAATCCCAGGATTTAATGACTTGACTAAGTCTACAGAATTAGTCTAGTGGTATAATCCCAGGATTTAATGACTTGACTAAGTCCACAGAATGAGTCTAGTGGTATATTGATATAAATCCTAACCAGTTACTAACTTACTGTGGTAAAATCCCAGGATTTAATGACTCTCACTGTAGAGAAAATCATGTTCTGCTTCATTTTGTTCTGTTTCTTAGACCATAGTGCTAAGACGGAATCAAACTTCTTGTTCTGGCTGAAAAAGGATAAATTTATATTTCAGTAAAGCTATTCTTTTAACAGCACTGACATGAAAACAAGATAATATAACAATAGAGTACTGAGAGAGGAAACAGTAAGAGGTGCTTTTGGTAGTCCTGATACCAATCTATCTGTCAGCAAGTCAGTATGAACATTTGTAAGATGTGTTTATTGATATAGGGTGTATATTATGGGTATTGTATACATCATCAAAACTACTGAAAAACTCAGCAACTGTAACATCTTATGTTTGTGTATAGTGTGATGTCACATATATTCTTACATTCAGGATGCTGTGACATCTAATATACTCTTTGTTTGTCAAGAGCAACCAGGATTTGTGAACACCTTCAAGATTTTATCACTGAAACAGCAGGGTGGAGTAGTAGGTATGACAACTAAAGATCTAGTGATAGCATAACATGGTCATTGTGAACATTTTTTACATCTCTATGTATTCTGTCACATCACACCTTGTGCTTTCACATATGTCTTTCTTCCTCAGTTTCTCCATTAATAGTTTCCCTGAAGAAGTAAATGAGTTTGTACAATTAGGTTATCATGTGTGTTGCACTGATTAAAATTCATAGTAGGCCAAAATAAAAACAGCCCTTATGGGGATCTGTCCTTTTTAAGGTATGATTACAAATTGTAAGAGAAATTACAATCAACTGTAATGTTCATCTGGTAAACTAAACAATACTGACTACTAAAAATATATGTTTGGGAAATCAAATAACACTGAATTTAAACAAAACTTACTGAAATGTATCAATGACCGACTGTTTAACAGTACTGAGTATTCAGATTAATTTTTGGACATCAAATAATTTTGAATATTTAATACAATTCCATATATTTAATGATACCAATTCAGTAATCTTGAAAAGTAAAAAATATTAGTTACTTCAGATAATTTATGGAACTGTAACAACAGTAATAACTTAACATAATTATAATAACACTAAACATTAAACTTGATAACAAAATTCAATGAGAACACATGAAAATAACACCTATTATTTAGGGAAATCTTGGAAAAAAGAGAAAGATACAGATTACTATGTATACTATTCTGGAAATACAACAACAGTGAACATTAAATATACTTCTTTGGAAAGTACCAACTGTAATGTAAGATTTCCTGATATTCAAGTAAAGAAACCTAGAAGAATCTCTAAAAATAGATAATAGTTGTCAATACCTTCAATAAAAATGTTATATTTACCTCTGAGCCAGGTCTATTGCTTCAGGATTTGGAGGTGGGATCACAAAACATACCCCTGGAACCATCCCCTCAATTCCCGCAGAGTTAATAACCTAAGTACAAAATTAAGACATTTTAAAAACAAGATATGAAATGTTTCACATGTTCCTTATAGGAAATCGTACATAACAACAGTATGTATGTGTGTGCATGTATGTATTTATTCAGAGAATTGTGACTTAGAAGTTAGGCTTAAAGTAAGTTATAATCAGTACTAGTGTACCATCACAGCAAATTAAGTTCAATCTCCTGTTTGTATATTCTTTAAAATAAAGAATGAAACATAAATCTCTAAGCATGCATGTAGGTGTGTATCTATAATAATGTATACGTATTATTATTATTACTTCATTATTATATTATGTATGTGTATATATCATTTTCTACTGGTTTTGCTATTTCAAAGATCACTCTCTCTTCAGGATGTAATTTTACAAATAATCTATAATAAAAAAGTTCTAAGATCACTTTTTAACTAAACTTAAATAACCTCATTAAACATATACTTTTTGAAATGTACAAATGTAAAACAAAAATCCTTATATAGGTTAAATACAATGAAATATATAAAAAATAAATTAGTTTAGGCTTATCAATTATACTTGCCTTCTTTTATCACTTTTGTTTTGATTAAACTTAATTATATTTATACTTTCTCCTCCTGTTATTACAGAAAGGCTGTTTATACTCATAATCTTTAACAATTTAATACAATACCTTATTTTCCTATTAATACTTCGTAGTCACATTTTACAATTCCAACTAACCTTATTCAACTACTGTTATTTCTGCACTCTTACCTCTATTTATTTAAAGTGGCATCAAAACATTTATGAAATATGTTTTTATATATTAATCTTTTTTGTTTTATATTACATACATACATACATTTTATTTATTTACATGTACATTGTAATTAAGATAAGGAACAAGCATAGTAGTAAATTACTTTGAATGGTAAATAAATTACTGTCTTCAATATCGAATCAAAATATACAATCTTACTATTTCTGATAATAATTAATGAAGTTGATTAAATATAGCCTTCTTCTATATCAAAGTATCTACATGTATTTTAAAGTAACAATGTTCACTATTACAAAACTAAAACCTAATTCCTAAAAGAGATTGAGAGAGTCATCATTCTCCTGTTAGAAGTGAAAACTTTTTCTCTCAAGAAGTGCAGACATCAACTGATGACTGAACTTGGAGGGTAAGTGGCTTTTATCTGCTGCTGGCTACATGACAATAGCCAGAAGATTAAGTGGAACCAGATGGCAATAACCAGAAATGAATTAAGAGATAGAAGGAAGAAAATGCATCTATTTCATACCAATTCTACCATCTGTTAACACATAAAAGAAAGAGACTTCCAATATTTTAGGTGATTGTACTGTCTGCAAGTGGTATTTATCACTTTTCAAAATTTTATAAACAGGTTATGACAAGCATTAAAAAGTCATAAGCTGTAAATGTTAACTGCAAAATGATGCATGAATAACATGTACTTCTAAGTTTACAAAAACTTATTCAGATATGAAGTTACAGATAGGACAGTATCTACTAAATAGAATTATCTTAGTTTTCAAGAGATCTTGTATATGTCTTACATTTAGCTGGTTGTAAGAACAGACTGCTGTAACTTTCACTGGTCTTGGAAGAGGCTGTCGTCGCTGTTTGAGGGGAACTATCTCCTTGCTTTGGGCAGTGAGGGAGGCAACAATGTTCTTGTAATGCATCATATCCTCTCTGAGTTCTAACATCTGCTTCAGCAAACGTTCTCCTTCATTAACAGGGAATGTTTTACGACTAAAAACAGTGTTCAGACGTTCTTCTGTATGATGTAGCCACTGTTCACATTCTTTGGCTTCAGCAAAGAACTGTGGAAAGAAAACCAGCACGTGAGTTCATGAGCACAAGAGTACCAATGTATGGATGCTGCAAAGCTGAAGTAAACATTATCTTATGACTGAAAAAATAAATACTAATAAAATATGTGAGACAAGAAGCACCTGTTATGAAGATTACTTGATGAGCACAATGAAAGTTCTCACCTGGTGATATGCAGAGGCATTCTTCAAATGTTCTTCTAAACAAATGGTGAGTTGAAGAAGCCAAGACCACTGAGAATGCATTGCTGCCAAGTAGGCCTGAAATGTACAGCTATTAGTTTGCCTTCACAAGAACAAACAAGTTCCATTTCATATTAAAAGGTTCAACGTACTGTGTCTTGCTAAATTTATATATAATAAACCAGGCAACAGTGCTTGTATCTATTTATATAATGTTAATTTCCTTCTAATGGATATAATCTTAATTAAGTCAACTTCATTCTGTTTGCAGAACAAACTGTAGTATGACTTTAAATTTTAAAACTAATTTTAACCTAAATTTCAGAACCTCAGTTGTCAACTTTTAACGTTTATTTCTAATGATACTGACACGGTTCTTACCTAGATATTCTATAGTGCCTCAATGTTAAGTCTGTGTGGTTCTAACACTAAAAATCAGGTTATTTTTACCTTTGATGGGCACAATACAGATAGATAGAGTGTTTTTTTTTTTAAAAACAACCAAACTTACCTCGATACATTCTACAGCAGGATGTTTTTGAAGTTGTAGGCTCTGTCCTTTGTCTGTGACTATATTAAACTGAATTTCCCTTTTTTCAAGATCAGAAGTCAAAGTCTATAAACAATATTTCAAGTTTTACTATACCTGAAAAAGTCTATATAATGAATAAATATTCAAGTCTTCATTATATTTTATCCAACATTTATCATTTTAAACAAAAAACCCTCAGATATCAAACTAGAAATATTTTTAGGGTTTAAGTTACTACTTATTTATCTAAATTACATCATATTTTTATATTATTTCACCTACATAAAAACTGTGACAAGTAATGAATTATCAGTCACTGTATTACTACTATAATGACATCAAATCTGAGCTCGTTTTAACTAAACAGCTATCAATGTATTCATCAGCTTAATAAGTATTTCACTATGCTAATGTAAAACTACAATTAAATAATATTCAAAGGTATAAATGGAATTACTTATCCAAAAACAGATATTTAATTATAGCTCTTATGTGAAGAAGCTTCAGAGTTATGATACACTTACTTCTTGGTACTGCTCTAACTCAACAATATTCAGTGTTTTGGAACTCCAATCTCGAGTGACTTCAATCTCCTCTTTTCTGTTCATCCATGCTATCTCACTTGTTGCAGACTGAACAAAGTCTAACAATGTTTCCAGGTTTGTCAGTCGTTTATTTGACAACACCTATAGTAAAATACCATTACAGTAACAGAATGTTGGATAACACCTAAAGTGAAACACCAGTAATATAATATGAAAACTGGAGAACGCTTACAGTGAAACATCAGTAACATAATATAAAATGTTTGATAACAACATTAATGTAAGATATGGGATAACATTTCCAGTTAAACACCAGTAATATCAGAATATCATTAACATAATATTAAATATTTTTTCATATGTTGAGCAGTAGGAATAAAGTCACAGCCTTGTGAGCCATGTAGAAGAATAGCTGACTGATTATGTAGAGCATTTTGAACATGCTCTGTAATATTTGAACTCAAACAACAAATTGTAGAGCCCACATAGCTACTGCTACTTCTTGGACATGTAAATTTATAGATTGTGTAGGAGCACTGCATTTTTGTAACACTGTTGTTAAATTTGAAGTAATTACTTAAACGAAACATTGGTTTAAAAAACAATTCTAAGTTGCATTTGAGGATAAAGTTTACAATTCAAATAGTTCTTGATCTTTTTTTTCATAATTCTAAAGCATGTTTCCCTGTATACAGTAAAATACTATAAACTCTCCTTTTATTTGTAGTAAGTTTGTCAATTGTAGAAGTATATAAAGCCTCTAAGTACCGTACTTCTTAATAACATTATCAATCAAACAGAGAGGAAAACTGTTTCTTGAAAGAAATTATTTATAAAAATCACTTATAAAGCTCCAAGTATTAAAATGTGAATTAAATTCCCTTTGAACTCAAGAGGTATGAAACTATCAAAGTGAAATATTTACTTTCAATACATTAACTATTTTAGTATCCAAGAATGGTAGAATTGATACTGTTTGTTCTTTGGTAGTAAGTTGAATACTAACATGTCAACTATTTAAGTAGTTTTGAAACTTGTGTACACCAGATTTATTTTAAAAATAACAAATGAGGGCTCTACAGTTTGTTGTTTGATCTCATGGATTAAAGAGCGTGTCCAATATGCTTCATATAATCAGTCTGCTATTCTTCAACATGACTTACAAGACTGTGAATTTATTTTTGACACCCAAAATTGCATCATTCTGGGAAGCAGATTGAATGAAAAGATATTAAGAACTAAAAAAAGTTTATGGATTCACAACTTACATCCAAAATATTCAATAACACCTGCAGCAAAACCCTAGTAATATAACATGAAATGTTTGATAACACCTGCAGTGAAAACCAGTAATATAATGTGAAATAGTTCATAATATCAGCAATATAATACTAACTTTTGGATACACCTATAGTGAAATACTGGTAAAATAACATGAAATTTTGAATAACTCCTGCAGCAAAACCCTAGTAATATAATGCAAAATGTTGGATAACATTTACAATGATACATCAGTAATACCTACAATGAAATACCACTAATGTGGCACACTAAAACTAACCACACTTTTGTTATAATCTCTACAACAAAACACATTTCAGATGGTATAATAGCACAGGTTATGAACCTCTAAAACACAGTAGCACAATGTATGTTGGGAAAAATAAAACATGATAAAAGTTTGAGAAAATATTAACACCATCTGAATACTGCAGGTCAGGTGGTGTAAGTTACTAAATCTGAAGTACACTACCTATACAGAAGTCATACTGAAGTTTGTGGTGGAACCTGACACTCAAGACACCATAAAACTCTTGGTCAGGTGGTGTAAGTTACTAAATCTGTTGTACACTACCTATACAGAAGTCATACTGAAGTTTGTGGTAGAATCTGACACCATAAAACTCTTGGTCAGGTGGTGTAAGTTACTATATCTGTAGTACACTACCTATACAGAAGTCATACTGAAGTTTGTGGTGGAACCTGACACACAAGACACCATAAAACTCTTGGTCAGGTGGTGTAAGTTACTATATCTGTAGTACACTACCTATACAGAAGTCATACTGAAGTTTCTGGTGGAACCTGACACTCAAGACACCATAAAACTCTTGGTCAGGTGTTGTAGTTTGGATGTAGTTGTAGAAAAGTTTCAAGACCCCTATGCTGTTAGCAACCACCTTGAAACATACTAAATTTGTTGGATAATATGTAGCAGGGAATGTTACTGTAACACTACTGCTTTCAACTTTCATTACACCTTTTGGATAAAATAGTATATAATATGAATACATAGTAAAAATTTCATGATATCTATCATATTCTAATAGCAATAGATACTAATATCATCATCACATTCTTTAGAATCTATGAATAATATATTATATATATATATGAACATATAATGATAGCCAAGAATTTTAATAACAATACATTTTTAGAATGTAAAAGTAATCTATGATAGTGATATAATCCAATCCAACAGATTCTAATAACAAAACAATGTAATAACATTTACCAACTCTATCAGAGATGAGATAAATAACACCTACGAAGAAATTATAAATGTCTAAATACAGAGACACCTTTAGTTGACAATACTGAACATAGCATATTTTTATAAATATATAGCATTACAGTTCTTTCATCTTTAACAAAACGTATTAGATAATTCACAACAATGCAATCCAATAACCCAAGTCTTTCAGATAGTAGACCTTCTTCTTCAGAATTCATCCCTAAAGAGGGAAAGTCCACCTTCCAAAACTGCTTGGGACATTAGGTTTTTTGCTTACTTCTGTAAAATGTATTTACCACAAATTTTTTGTAAAGCAAAATGGAGTCTAACTTGTAGTAACTCTATGAAGCCAAGATTTTACGTAACACACATTGTAGAGAAAGCAACATATCATTTACACATCTGAAGATAATACTTACAACAAGTTCTGAGTAGCTCTTTTCTAGTTTAGTAAACAGTCTACAATATAAGTCTTGTTCATCACCTTTGAACTGGTTCTAAAGATAAAAAAGGTTTCAAAAAAATAAAAAACTACATACTTTGACATGCAAGTAACATGAAGCAGGCTGAATTTCCACAGCTAAAACTCAACTTAATCTCATGCCAGTCTTCAAACTTAGCAAGCTTCACCATAAAATACATATTTTTGTTTAACTTGTCATGCAATATGACTTGAATCCAGTCTATTAATAATCCATAAAGTCCTGTAAATCAAGCCTGACAGTTTTATTCATTCAGAAATATATCTTCATACTTTTGTACCCAGTCACAGATAGCAAACTTTCTGGAAAACTAACAATTAGCCACAGATCAATAGATTAACAACAGGTAAAACCTAAAACATCTAATATGCTTCTTTATGTACCTCATGCAAACTAAATAACTATAAGGATGACTTTACAAAACAAAATAAAACTGGTCACTCAGATGTATATAAGTTACATAACATTTCCTTAATAATTCAGAACTGTAAAGAATGGTAACCATGCTATATGACTAACTAAATAAATAAGGTATTATCTATTTTCAAAGTCTGTTCCTAACATTTTAACACATTCTTTTGGGTTATGACAAAGGGATTGAGAAAATGTTGACTTGGTTTACGTGGTTGCCATGAGAATGTGAAATTATATAGTTCATTACATGTCATGTTAAAACATATGACAGGGCCAAATAAAAAAGATAAACAAAATTAAAATGAGGTTATGCTACTTAAAACTAAGTTAAAGCCAAAGTTACATACTTTCAAACCCAATGTTTACTGTTCTGTGAGGATGTTTCACAAGATACAACATGCATTCTCACATATTGCTTATATTTTGGAGATTGTCTTTCAGAGTAAATATTACATTTTTTTTTTCTTTCTTAGAGGAACGTGAGATATGGATAATTCCACAGATCTTTGAACTGCAAGTTCACCAGTAGCATCTGCCTTTCTCTGGCAAAAGCTCTGTCTGAAACCACTCCCTAATTGAATCCACAGCAATGACCTCAACCATAAAGTGTAAGTAAATTGTGGTTTTGATAAGGAGCTTTCTGACCCATAAAGTTACTGCAGTAAAGCTAGACACATTTCCTGGTACTGTTAACAAAAAATAACCAAATATTTGAAGTTAACACACAAATAAAGACTTTCCAAGCTTCCAGCTACATCTAGAAATTCAAGAATGTTTTTATATGAAAGATAGCTAAAGGAATTATAATTATAATAATCCCATTTGGCAACATATACATCCTAATAAAGTCCAGTGGACTTTTGTGCTTGTCTTGGAAACTGATTTTTATGTATAGTGGAGTATCTATACAAAGTCTATCAAGATGCATGGTCTACGAATGATCTCACCATCCTTCGCAGAAGTTTGTTACACTTAAAATTGGTGTGACAGGCAATAGTGCATAATCATGGCCATTATAATAAGCATTATTGATGATGGTGGAAGTAGTTTCAAGGGCAGCTTGGGATCTGGAACATTTTTTAACACAATGTGGTTAACCTCAGTACAGCATGTAATGATACAATGATATTAATTAATATAACTTCTAATATTATAATCATTTAAATGGTAAAATAACAATGATTTAGTTATTACTATATGAAACTTACAATGATGTTAGTTATTACAGCATGAAAACTGCAATGATGTAAGTTAATGTTACATATAAAATGACAACAGTTAGTTAATAAAATGTTAAAATTACAGTGATGTTATTTATTACAGCTAGAGTGATGTTAGTTCCCCTCATAATGTTCAAGTTAACGCAACCTTACCTTTCTTGTTCCACATTGGTCAATGTTCTTGTGGAACTGGTCAATAATTTGATGTTCAGTCCTGTAGTTTTCTAACAATACCTTCACATTTGGAAGGTCATTCCCATACTCTGCAGTATAAAGGAATTTCTGAAAACAAGGAGACCATTTATTGAGCAATTATTTTAAGTTTTTACGGCTATTTTTTTTTTACACAAACATAGTTCAGTATAAAACTGTAACACAATTTTGTTTGAAATATTCTATGTTTACTAACTGTTAAAAATGTTTCTTTGTTAAAAATTTGAAAAAACAATTTACAGTTTTGAAAGTTAATCTTCTCTTAGTTGTTTCTAGTAAACACAAGTTTCAATTACAAACCCTTACCAATTTCCCATTCACCCAGTCCAAACATTCTTGTAAAAACCTGAAAGCATCATCTGTGTCAACTAGATGTTTCTCAGGCTCAATGTATTGTTGTTTTGTCATCTGACGTTCTTCAGTCTTGAAAGTCCTACATGATAGAGGATTCAGTAGTCTAGATGTAAAACTCAGTCGGATATTAACCCATCTCTGATGGATATTCTGCACCCTAGTGAAGAGATCAAGTAATAACCATTGTATAATCAAATCTTATTATTAAATCTTCATGCATACTTTACCATAACCAGCAGAAATTGTAACAGTTTTAGGTATCACAAGACATGAGATTCACAATGGCTGACAAGCACTACAAACTAACCCAACTACAAAAAAACAACTTTTTATGTCAAATTATTTTTAATCAGGCCAATTATTTCTTGGGGTATTTTTTTATTGAAACTCAAATATCAAAACCAAAATTTAAGAACATCCATTTCAAAGATTTCCAGTACTGAAATTTTTAAGAGTTAATTTTATTTAATTTTCCTGAATTTCAAGAATCTATGTAAGCCCTGTTGAAAAATATTTACATATATATATATATATTTAGACTGATGCTTAAAAACTTCTAACTTAATAATTAATAAGGCCAGGAATAGGTGTTTACCTTTTGTATAGTTCCTGGGTTTGATGATATCCTTCATGTCGAAGCGACTCTGCATCTTGAAATATTGTTTGGATGTTTTTCTCTAAGGCTTTCAGCTCTGCCTCAGTCTGGTCACAGATGTAAAGAGCATCTGTGGGATGAAGTCGATGTACTCGCTTCTCTTCCTGTAAAACAAACAAATCATTTAAAGGGTTACCTTTTCAATGTTGGAGAATCATTGAACTTCATAACTGTTTTTTGTTTACCTAACTTCTAACACTGTAAATAATTAGGTTTATTACTGCCACCAGAGGGCTATAAGTAACTAAAAAACTCATTAAGATCTTTTAAGTTCTCAGCCACTTTAATAATAACATATCTAAAATATATCTGAACACTATCCAGAGATTTCCCCCAAAAACAAAACTTCAACATATTGTTTAGCTTAAATAATTTTCTTGATCCTTCAACTTAATGATTGGATAATTTTAAAACCATGTTACAAGCTCTTCATCGTGACTAATTCAACAATGAATCGTGAAACTTTACTTGAGCTAATCTCCTGTCTAAATCCCTTAGGTTTCCATCTCACACATGTTCTCCACCAAAGTAAAAACAAGCACTTTGAAACTGAGTTATCAGAAACACTTACCTCAGCTATTCTTTTGTCTATATCATTTAGCTTTTTATCACACTGCTTAGCTTCTCTGTGAAGCTTTTCAGCAAGTTTTTGAAGTTTTTCTAATCTGAAAACAGATAAGTAGCTGGTTTACATAACAAACTTGACTTAGTCTCCTATCACTTATCCTTCAAAATAATCAAATTTCAGCTGTTTATTCTACTAAATGATGATAAGATATTTTTTTCATATTTTTTAATTTTCTTTCGGTTTCTCTCTATATTGAATACTTTAACATTTTAAAAATTCATTTTCTGTTACCCAGTACAGCTTATAAAACACAAGCACCTGCTACAACCTGCTTTATTCCCAGTACAGCTTACATAATACATGTACCTGTTACAACCTGCTTTATTCCCAGTACAGCTTACATAATACATGTACCTGTTACAACCTGCTTTATTCCCAGTACAGCTAACAAAACACATGTACCTGTTACAACCTGCTTTATTCCCAGTACAGCTTACATAATACATGTACC